ATGCCAGCAAAGTCATGCTGACGCTGCTTCTGAACAGGCTGAAACCACAGGCAGAGACCATCATGGCAGAAGAACAGGCTGGTTTCAGGGCAGGAAGAAGCACAACAGAACAGATCTTCAGTATGAGAATTCTGTGTGAAAAACATCTCCGGGACCAACAAGATCTATACCATGTCTATTGACTTCAAACAGGCATTTGGCAGAGTATGGCACGACGCATTGTGGGCTACCATGAGGAAATACAATATCAGTGCCAACCTCATCAATTGAACATCTGTATGACCACGTCACAAATGCTGTATTACTAAATGGCAACACAGGTGAATGGTTCCGGACAACTATCGGAGTCAGACAAGGCTGTCTTCTCTCACCAACCCTCTTCAACATCTTGGAGAGGTTGATGACTGACGTACTGGAAGACCACGAAGGATCAGTCAGCATTGGCGACAGAACCATCAACAACCTACACTTTGCTGATAACATTGACGGCTTGGCGGGCAGAGAGGATGAACTAACCACTGTGGTGGAGCGCCTTGACAAAACTTCACAGGCCTATTGCATGAAGATCAGTACAGAAAAGACAAAGCTCTTGACCAACAACTCAAATGGCATCCAACGGAACATCGAAGTGAAGGGTCAGAAACTGGAGGCTGTTGACAGTTTCTAACAAGAAATCCTGGCTAAAATCGCGCAGTCAACAGCAGCACTGAGAAAACTGAAAACGTTCTGACATGACAGAAACATCTCTCTAGCATAAAAAATCAGACTCTTCCGTACTCGTCTTCTCAATATTCTTGTACACTTGTGAACCATGGACCTCCAATAATGACATTCAGAGACAAATTGAGGCACATGAAATGAGATGCTACCGAAAAATCCTGAACATCTCATACAAGGATCATCTCACCAATGAGGAATATCAGAATATCCACAGTCATCGGTGCACGTCGGAGCCACCGGTTCACAAGCATCGTAAAGAAAAGAAAAGTGGTATGGACACGTGACAAGATCAAACGGCCTAGCGAAAGCCATCTTGCAAGGCACAGTACCAGGAGGCAGAAAGAGAGGAAGGCAGAAGAAGAGGCGAGAAGACAACGTCAAAGAATGGACAGGACTGCCTTTCGCCGACTCGCAGAGAGAAGCCCATGACCGGCGCGGACGGCGGGAGATCGTCAGGAAATCGTCAGTGGTGCCTCTACAACCCACTCGGGGTTAAGAGACCGATACGATACGATACGAGTATCGTTATTGGTATTATTATTATTATTATTACTGTTATCATTATTAGTATAGTAGTACGTATGTATGTGTGTGTGTGTGTGTGTGTGTGTGTGTGTGTGTGTGTGTGTGTGTGTGTGTGTGTGTGTGTGTGTGTGTGTGTGTCTTATCATTCAACTCAATACATGGACTTCATGTAGCAAATCACTGCAGAAATCTTATCTTGTCATTAATATTACAGTTATTATCATCGCTATAATTTTATTTGAGTATTGTTATCATTATTATTATTACAAGTGTTATTACATTATTATTATTATCCTTATTATCGTTATAATTGTAATTACAATATTATTATTGTTAATGCTATCGTTATTATTATTATCTCCATTGTAATTATGATTATAATAAATATGATCATCACTATTGTCATTGTTATAATGATTATAATAACAATTATTATTGTCAATTATTATTATTATTATTAATGTCATTAATATCATCATAGATATTATTATCATTACTATCATTATTAATATTGTTTATTATTATTATCATCATCAATCATCATTATCATTATCATTATCAAGGGTCAATGATAAGATTTACAGAAAAAAAATAAAAGGTAGATGAAAAAAGAACTCAGTTCTTATTTACGTGTTGGTTAGCAGATTGTTGATTCAATATAATTGTATTCCACAGGCAATGATTTGTGCTGTAGACCAAAGAGGCTTATGTAGTCAACTCAGTATTGTTATTGTTAGTGCTGGAGTGCTACTACTGTCAGTGATAATCACTTTTATTATTGTAACAATAACAGCCATGATTATAATAATGATGATACTAGTTATTACTTGAAAGTAACACACGTGGGCGGCGTTCAGTAGGGATTAAATCCTTCACACTTTTATAAAAATAGTTACGACAAAAACGGTAAATATGCGACGTGTGTTGATGACCTTACCCAGGTCAACCCCGATCTCTCTCCTCGCACTCACAGCATCAGGCTTGCGACTGGGAGAGCAATCTCGGAAATGAGGTCGAGGAAGTCTAGATAAAGATATAAATAAAAAATAAAAAAAAAACAATGATAAGGTCCTGTTTATCTCAACGTCTAGAACAAAATCAGGTAATTTCAGCCTCCAAAGTGTTAACGTTCGGTGTGCGAAAAATATGGGAAACTATTAGTATGCAAAAAAAAAAAAAAAAAAAGAAATACGGGCACCCCACAGGACATAAACGTGAACATCTCTGGCAGCGCTTTCACGAGACTAAAAGAAACTTCAGGATGTCCCGAGGAAGTTTAACTCTGTCGAATGAGGGACTCGTTAGACTAACTCCAGTTCCCCTTACAACACGATATCACTATTGCAAAGCATTTACTAGACACTGTAACCGCAGTCTGAGGGTTAACGAAGTAAAGTGGCTTAAGAAGCAGAAGATAAAGAATATGAAAGAGATGAAGGTAAGAAGAAAATAAAGAAAAAAGATAGGGAAGAAGAAAAAAATAGAGAAAAAATGGATATATGGGAAACAAACTGTAATATCACCAGTGCAACATAAGTTCTCAAGAGCAATACAAGACCTAATAGTTAATGTGTGGTATTTAGATATGAAGTTTCATAACACTACTGGCCACATTTATGGATAACACGAGAATTATCATTACAATAAGAAAAAAAGTGATAAATTTAACCCTTCCTTCTTTTCTCGTGGGAGTTAAAAGAGTGAGAGAAACTTGATCCATGTAACAGAGAAGTACAAATGGATATGGAAAATATTATATTTACCAAAGGGTAGTATACACTTGTACCTGTTTTATCTGCAGTTACATGGAACTATCAAAGAATCGTCATCACAGCCCAGGAGCTTAGGAGAGAGGAGAAAGGACCTTAGATTGGCACCTTGCCTTAAATAATACATTAGGTGAAGGTACCGGAAACAGGCACACGACTCGACTTCAGACTCAAGGAGAATATTACGAAGAGTAAGAGGTCCCCCCCCCGCCTCTCGTATCTCACACTAATATTTTACTGTAAGGTGGCTCGTTATTAACTTTTATTTCCTAACTCAATCTCTTTCGAGAAGGTCGGATTTATACATACATACATACATACATACATACATACATACATACATACATACATACATGCATATATATATATATATATATATATATATATATATATATATATATATATATATATATATATTATATATATATATATATATATATATATATATATATATATATATATATATATATATATATATATATATATATATGCACATATACACACACACACACACAATATAATATATATATATTTTTTTCCCCCTTACTTCAATAGAAGCATAGAAACATAGGAAGATAACCGATAAACAAAGAACTACTTGGAAAAAAGACGATACTTAAAAAAAAGAAATAAATAACAGCTTGCAAACTGGCGATACTTTAAATAAAAATATGAATGACTTCCAGACTTTAACCAACTTACGCGATGAGGATTAGGCCTGCTTTGTTTCGTAAATCTGTGGTCGTTAGAAAATGTTTTTACGTTAAGAGATAAGAGGAAGGGAGTAATGAGGAGGAGGGAGGGGAGAGACCAGCTAGGTAGGTACGCAAATAAATAGATAGATAGATAGATAGATATTAAATGCTCTCGATAGATAGATAGGTACGTAGACAAATAGATAGACAGTTAGATATAAATATATTAAATGCTCTTAGTAGGTAGAGAGGTACACAGATAAATAGATAGACATACACCTACAAATATATTACATTCATATAAGCGAACCTTCAAAAAAAAAAATAATAATAATAAAAATAAAATAGACCTGATAAACCAGAACTTTCGTTTCTGATGTCTATATCCACGAAAGAAAAGTTTCTGAATTTCCATCCTCGACCCTAATTCTACATTAAAGTATTCAAAGTCCATGAATATCATGAATAGACGACATATTTTGATATCCATGAACATGTTTCTCTCGTGTTGGGAAGATTTCGTTATATATTTTTTTTTTGTTCTCGTGAGGAATAAAAAGAGGATTTTTTTTTTGTTTCTTTTCTTTCCCCGCAACGAACGAAAAAAAACGAAAAAAAGAAATTAAAGGAAGGTCGTATATTAGAATTGATAAATAAGTTTCTTTCTCTTTACATGCCTGCAGACAGATGCGTAAACATATGCAGAGAAAAGTGCAGGTTGATTAACTCATTCACAAACAAACGAGCATCCACAAAAACTCACACGTCCATTTCATTCACTTGATTACTTATTGATTTTCCTCTCTATTCATTCATTCGTTTATTTCCTTACTTTCATTCACTTATTTATCCCTCCTTTCTATTCATTCATTCATTTACTTACTTATACTTATTTCTACTTACCGTTTATTACATCTCTACTTGTTTCTGCTTACAATTTATGACATTTTTGCTTACAATGTATCACATTTCTACTTACAATTTATCATATTTTTACCTATTTGTACTTACAATTTATCACATTTCTACTGACAATGTATCACGTTTTTACTTATATCTAATTAAAATTTAACACATTTCTACCTATTTCTACTTACAATTTATCCCATTTCTCCTTACAGTTTATCACATTTCTACTTATAATGTATCACAACTCTACTTACAATATATCCCATTTCTATTTCTACTTACAATTTATCACACTTCTACCTGTTTCTACTTACAATTCATCACATTTCTACTTACAATTTATCACATTTCTACTTACAATGTCTCCCCTTTCTACTTCCAG